TGACGCAGCTTTGAGTCGTCACTAGAACCAACATCTGAGGAGTTGGCACTTGGTTTAAGGGCAAAGTTTGAACATTTTAGTGTGGTAAAACTGGTTCTTGAAATGAATTTACCTCTCAAAAGCATCAATGCAAACTACTAGTGCTCCTTTATTCAGTATAAGTCCAAATGAAAGTCCAAGTCACATGGGAATCCAATTCGAGTCAAATCACCAGGTCCTACAGGGCAACATTTGTTCATTTGAACCCAGAAAAGTGAAATTGCTGTTGTCCTAATTGCAAGTAGCCGATGCTAATGTTAGCTTGTTATATTAGGTCAGATTAGTGAACAAATTTAATAACCACGACTTCCCAATGCCTTTGCAAGTCGAAGGGTGGCACAGGAGTTGAGAGCTCGGCCAGTAACTGGAAGGTTGCAGGTTCGAGCCCCGCTCAGTCTGTCGCTGTCGTTGTGCCTTTGGGCGAGACAATTTACCCCCCTTGCCTGCTGGTGGTGGTCGGAGGGACCGGTGGTGCCTGTGTACGGCAACCTCACCTCTGTCAGTGCGCACCAGGGCAGCTGTGGCTACATCGTAGCTCATCCCCATCAGTGTGTGAATGTGTGTGTGAATGGGTGAATGACTGGTTGTGTTGTAAAGCACCTTGGGGGGGTTTAGGACTCTAGAAGGCGCTATATCAAATACAGGCCATTTACCATCTATCATGTTGTTTAATTTAGGCACATGCTGCTACGTGGTAGCATGAGGGCATTGTTTTCCCAGTCTTGTCTTCTGTTGTCCTCCTTCTGTTGGCCAATAATTTTAATCTAGAGCTGCTTTTTCTTGATTTTGAGAAAAAAATCTGTAAAACTAATTGTACAATGCACAGTACGTGTAGACTCTCTCTCTGGACATGTTGAATACGTCACATGTTGATGTGCCGCAAGTCCAAGTTTAAGTCCTAACGTTGCAAATCCAAGTGCAAGTTGTGGACATTCTCCTTGAGTCAAGTCACAAGTCCCTTAAACGTGACGTGCACCATTCCTGACCGAGGAGAAGACCCTATAAACTCGCCCAGGGAAATCTTTATGTATACCAGCTAAAAGGTTCATAAAGCATTGTGAGATTATACCAGTTTAAACAAGTCATGGATGCATTCTGATTTAAAATGATTTTTAACTTATTTAGCCCGTTTTAGACTGCATTGCATATGACTTACACGCTGCTCATGCACACTTGTGTTAAACGCTGTAATGTGCAGAAAGTCATACCTACAAGGCACATGTAGCTTATGTAATTGCACCAAAAGCGGCTGGTCAGGTGATTAGTCCGCTGCTCAAATGTACCCCCCCCCCCCCCCCATGCAAATGAGTTAAGTCACTGGATACAAATTCCTGAAGACGGTCAACCTGTTACAAATGTTAGAGCCGGCGTGAGCTGCAGCTCTCTGGTTTTATTCTGGATTAGAGGTAAGCATCCTTTTCCACCGCCGTGTTGCCAGCGTGTTATTACTTTGTCATGTGTTCCTCAGCTAATGGTTGTGTTTGTCGCCATGCTGTCCTTTACACTTGTGCGTTATAATGAATGTGTTTCCAGGCCACAGAGCATCAGCCAGGCACCTGGGTCTCACCACAAACATCCCACGTCACTTTTTTATTGCAGCCTTTAGATTCTCTCTTGACTCTACTGCTTCGAATAGAAAAGCTGTAGTTGATGTGATTGTTTGTTGTTCTCTAGCTTATTTAAAGTTTAGAGGAGTTTTGGTCTGTTGGCAGATTTTTGAAGTATCACCCCAGCCCCAGAGGGATGCTGGGTAATTATCATACAGCGTATCGTACAATCGACTCCTGACAGACCGATAAAGGCTTTGTGGACAAGGTGGAGGTTTACTTCTAAAGGTCTTTTAGTATTTTGAGATAAACTATGACTCAAGTACTCAATCAAATAGTTGTTGTTAGAACTTGAAGAAGCCGTGTTTGAATATTCGACCCTCAATAGGAACAATGCTGTTTCAACCCGACAGCTTTCTACCACGCTCCCTGTTTTCACCTTTATTCTCAGGTAATTGTTGATGGTTCTCCACATGCTGACAACTCTTCATCTCGAATCACAAGCTGTGCTTTAATGCAGTCTTTGTGGGTGCGATGGTATGCGCTGCAGGCGTTAATAGATGTGCAACATTACTGTTTCATGAATTCAAGAAAGCTGCTCGTCTCTGAGCTTTCTTTATCGTCATTTATGTAGTTTGAGCTGTTGCCCCGTGCTCGTTGCTCTCCTGAACTCCATCCTCAGATGTTGGAGATTTTCTCAGACCATCTGCTGAAAGTTGAGTCCATGTGGCAGCTTACATCTGCCCTCTTTCCTGTGCCTTTGGCCTTTCTGTGAAAAACTGCTCTGCTGACATTTATTTTTCTGCCTCAAGAACCCGCTGTGCTGTAACTCCTCTCTTTGTACAAACTTTTGAAAGTTATTCTGCCATTTTATCAGCATAGCTTTAAATCTCACTTCATTTCTTCCGCAGAAGCTCAGACGGGCTTTTTTTCAAATGACATTTTAAAAAAATCAGTCAAGGTTTTGCATTTTCCCATTTTGTCATCATCTTAAACTTGTTATCAAGTAACTGGCATGCATCGGCATTAGATTACAAAAGCTCGTATCAGCTTTTTTCTTTAGTAGTCCACGTTACAGTTGAATCACTTTTTGTATTTCCGTTGTTACGGAGGCCATGCAGCAGTGATCAACTCATCTGTCTACCTCTTGGTTGGCTGTGGAAAACATTCCTAGGTGAAAAATGACTAAAGGTTTTGGATAATCGTGGAACAAGTTGCACCAGACTAACCAAACTTTCTGCATGTGACGCACACGCCAGGAAGTCTGTAAACAGCTTCTACAAATGCCATCAAATCCTATTAACACTATAAAAAAATCCATCTGACTAATTTGCATATAAAATATTTGAAAAGTATTCTTTTCTTGTTCTCTTGTGCACATTTGAGTGTGCACAAGAGAACTTGAATGCAGGGATAGATGAGGGCTCACAAGCAAAAAGAAGGTTTAGAACTACTTTAGTACATCTTGTTAGTGTAACGGTAAATCTGTAAGTTGTTATGTAAGGAAAAACAAAGTATTTGAGTAGTGATCATAGAGACAAGGCGCTGAATTAAATGGCTGGTGTGCCTGGCCCTTATTTTGGTTTTAAATCTTCAGTCTGCACCCTGCAGACATCGGCTAAATTCTTGGATGAGGCATGTTTAGTCGTGTGAGAATCATATGAAGCGGCTTACGAGGTCATTCGGGGTTTTTTGTGCGTTTTTTTAAACGATTAAAGGGTTTCTTTAGACAACTTATAAAACTAGTAAAATACCTCAGAATATGTACAAATACATCTTGTAGAAATACTTTTTTGCTTAGCTAAATTAGTTTCAATGCAGCTAGTAGTAATATAAAGACTTTAAAATTAAAGGTCATTGTTTTTGTTGGAAGTTAATTAGATTTTTTTATTTCACTTTATTTTATTTTTTTACATGTAACTGGTACAGAGAGAACATTTAGGACGATGAAAGCTGATCTGCTGGTAAGGCTCCAGCGTTTTAAGCTTTTAAAAAAGATGGAAGTGTTTTGCATTAACTTTAAAAAATGCTGTTTTCCTGAATTCATGAAATGTAACTAAAACAATAACTGCAGTGGTTTTACGAGACGACACCTGTAGGAACTGTAACATTTCCCATTTACGGAGTTGACTTATTTGTTTTGGGATGGAGATGCTGGGGAATACTCTTGTGTCTGGAATATGTAGACAGAATTATCTTTAGTTTGCCAACTTTGTGCTTACACTTGTGGAAATGGTAAAAAAGTAAACAGTCATTCACCATGCACACACACATTCACACGCTGGTGATGAGCTACAAGGTAGCCACAGCTGCCCTAGGGCGCACTGATGCAGGCAAGGCAGCCAAACACTGGCGCCACTGGCTTCTCCGACCACCACCAGCAAGAACCAGCGAGACTCGACCCCACCACCCTCCGGTTACAAGACGGGATCCTAACTCCTCTGCCACCGGGAATCGGCGCCTGTTCATGCGTACAGCTAGCCTAGAAATCTAGACAAGAAGTTGCCAAAGCTAATTGATTCTGCTCTGCATGTCGGTCTAGCCACACTCCGTTAAAGCCTCAGCGGGTCAGACCAGTCTGGCGGTTTGATGGGCCACTCACAGCCCTCTGTTGGTTTTGGTGGGCGGGATGATGCAACGGAGAGGAACAACAGAGATGCCAATGGCTCATTTGAAACAGCGTTGGCATCAACTTTGGATTTTTATTTGAGTCGAGCAGATAGAGGTACTTCAGTCCTTTCTTTAGAAATAAGACATAGTCGTGTTTTCTTTGACAGTAAAATAGAATAGAATAGAATAGAGTTGGGGTGAGTGTCACGTTGTCCGTGGTCCAATTGACCCTTTGCACGTGACGTCACGCCACTCATGTGACCGCCCCCTTCGCCATGATGGATGGCAAAAAGACCGTTTACACCCGTAGAAACTCCAGTGAAGGTAGTCGAAACAAGCCAGTTTGTAGCCTTTTATTGAGTTGGTTTGACAGTGAAATGGTTTTAGCTTGCAGCGTGGTCGGCTGCACTAAGAGACAAGGATGTAAACTCAACTCGTTTTTTCTTTCCTCGGTCCCCATCAAAGTTATTAAAAAGAAATAGTTTTGAGGTGTTGTTGCGTGATCTGGGATGTAAACAGACGTTTTCAGCCTTGATTCCTCAGTGACTGCGACTCTGATTTTAACTGGTGGTGATTTAGTTTCTCGCCTCCATATAAAAAAACCTGAACGGATTTTATTTGCTCTTTTTTGACTGGACAATTCAAATTCATCGTGTATAGAGATGTGCTTGTTTTCTTTAAAGGGCAAGCACAACAAAGAGTCTCATCAGGAAGTACTGCTGGCTGTGATTTAGCTTTGAGGGCGTGTTCTTAAAAATAGGTCCTGGTTTTGCCCCAACCTATCTGCCGTTGGGTTCATAGGTCACCACGGTCTCGTGCTTATAAACGGTGTCTTGTCTGCAGCAGAGAAGGCGGCTTGCAACAACATTTGGTCTCCAGCGTTGGTCAGAGGGCTGTCCTTCTGGTTTGCCAGACTGAATTTAACACACCAGTGATCCCAGAAACCCTTAAATGAAGGTAGGCAGCTTTCCTTTAGGTAAGATTCGTTTAAAGTCGGTGTTGAGCAGACAATCTGATATTTTCCTAATATCCTAAAACATTTGCTCTAGTGGAGGCCCTTTGAGGAATTCTGTGTTTTAATTTCTCAAAGATTTGTGGAAATTTAGACAAAAAGCTTTTGTTTGTGTTTGAAGTAAAATAGTTTTTAACGATGCTCTAAAATCTCATCGCAAACTTCTGATCTGGATATGTTAGATGAAGGAGCTCCACTATGAGCTCATTAATGTTCTTTAGGCAACGATCCGTTCTGTGATAACTCTTAATCAAAGTGCTTTGTTCTCACTTTAATCAAGTCTTTCTAATCATTTTCTCGGGTTAAACCTTTTACCGAGGTTGATGGGAAGACTTTGTTTGTTTTCAGCCACAAGTTAAACACAGAAAAGCAATCAGCCACCTAGTTACAGCCGTTCCCCAAAGCAAGAATGGATATGTGACGTGTTTATGCCCTGATCGTAGTGCGGGACGTCCTCCAGCCTAAGAAGGGTGCTGTGGATGTTCAGGCTGATGTCAGAAAAGTGTTTTAATCACATCCATTATTGTGAAATGTTGCATGCATGTCAGTCTGAAAATGTAGCTTGTGCTGTTTTATTTTTTTGTAATCATTTCACATAGTTTAAATTGTAATTCCCTCTGAGTTTTGGTTCAGCAGCATCTCGCTGCCTCGTGGGTGTCGAGAGAGAAATCAGCGTAGTAAATATTGATGTTTTAGTTGGTGTTCGGAGAGCTGCAGTGTGCACTCTGCTGTAACTAGTCCTGACAGCTGAGGAGGAGATGTCATCCTGTTTGCTTTCAACAGTGTCTGTGGTCTACACAGCAGCACAATTATGTTCCCGCATGGCGCAAAGAGCCGCCGTAGAAACTTTACTAACAAGCTCGCGGCCAAAAGTGTGCATTTGTCTGCTCTGTGCTGCGTGCCTTCTCACCATTATCCCTCCGTATTCCTCATCTGACCTCTCTTTATATCTCTCCTCATGCTTCAGCCACCCACAGGCTTCACAAGAGACCTTATGAGGATCATTTGACTGGAATCATATTGCTGCTTCGGGCTTTTTAAAGTGAGAGAAAATAAGCAATTTGTTACTCAAGCCTCTGAAGGGTGTTTCTGTTGCGCCACAATGCTTCTCAGTGTAGTCGTTAGGGCTGTTATGGTGAGATGAAGGTGCTCCAGCTTTGAATGTTGTTTGTTTACAGGCTTGTTAGCCACATTTTACAGGTTTTGTCATAAAATTAGAGGTGAGATGATTTTTTTCCTGTAATATGTCAGAGTTTCAGGGCGGGATGAGTTTTTCTCTGCTCTGGTCTGGCCCTGGGGAATCCGAAACATCTCCGAAACAGCTGCGATGTTTTAACTCTGATCTTGTCGGTGGACCCCCAGGAACACAAATCGTGTCTCCTGACGTGGTCCATGCCTTTTGATCAGAGGATTCCTTTTCTGTTTTTGCAGGGGGACCATACGTGAGGAGACAATGCGAGTGCACGTGCATACCAAGTTTTGCCTCTTGTGCGTGCTCACCTTCATCTTGCATCAGTGCAACCACTGCCATGGAGGGCACAGCCATGACAGTGATGGACATCACCACGATGAGCACAGCGATCTGCAGATTTCCAACGCTCCCTACGTAAGAGCTGCCACCGCGTCTCCAAACTCCAAAAGCCCCGCCACCTTAGAGGAGGAGCAGCGCTTCTACATCCAGCAGTTGTTCAGGCGCTACGGTCAGAGGGACCGCTTAGATTTCCAGGGATTTCAGAGTCTGCTGTTTAGCTTGGGTCTGGGAGAAGTCAAGGTGGTTGATGCAGATCACGAGGAGCTGGGCCACGACCACGTAGCCCACCTCGACCTGCTGGATCTGCAAGAGGGGCTGCACTCACACTCATCTCCCAGTGAAGGCCACCGTCATCACCAGCGCCATGATCATTCCCATCACAAACCACATTCCCAAACTCACTCCCACACGGAGCAAATCCCAACACGCTGCAGCCACACCACGGCCTCAAGTCCAGCTTCTGGTGAACCCGTAAATCATGGCCACAATCATACTCACCATCACAGCGAGGCTGAGGATAGTAACCATCAACCTTCTGATGAAGAGGTCCACCACAGGGACGTGTCCTCTCACTCTCATGGTCACCACGAGCATGACCTTCATCACATTAATACAGGCAAAGATGCGTCCTCCACCCGCCTGCAACCGTCGTCTCCAGTCCCGACGGGGAGTCGACCTAAAAGGCCCAGAAAGCAGCCAAAGGTCAGAGGTCAGCAAGGGCCAAACAAGTCCCCAACCCCTGACACACCTCCACCTGATGACCATGACCACAGTCATGACCCTCATCACAAACATGGCCACGCTCATAAAGAGAAGAGAGAGGCTCCGGGGGCTCTGGTCACGCCTCTCCCTGTGAACTCCAGACATGCAGGTGGACTGTCTCACCAGCATGAGGAGGTAGGCGCTCAGCCTGTCAAGACAAAGATCACGTTCCTGTGGATTTATATTCTGTTATGTTTCTCTACAGATGAAGCAGTTTTCTAGATCCATCTGAAGCCTTTTCTGACGGGATAAGAGTCTGAGCTTTTTTATCCGCTTTCATTAAAACACTCTGGAGGATCAAATGAGAATTCTCTTGTTCTGATGCTTTTGGTGACATCTTTAAAACGTGTCTTTGAGTTGTTGTTGAAGGCGCTTTATGAAACTTATGTTTATTATTAATGATCAATAGAAAATAATATTCATAATCTCCATTTAAGCCTTTCAGCTCGGTCTTGTGGTTGGTTTCAGTATGTTCCAAGCAGGCGTGACTTTTGCTTCTCATTTCCAGTGGAAAGCCTCTAGTACGTGTTTCAGTACATTTTCATCATGGCTGATAGTTTTTCCTTGTTTATTGTTTTAATGCAGTGCTTGAACCTCACCCAGCTCCTCTCCTACTACGGCCTGCACCCTGAAGCCCTCATCTCCCCCAGCCAGTTCACCTACCTGTGCCCGGCCCTACTGTACCAGATAGACAGCCGTGTCTGTATCCGCCATTACCACCAGATGGAGGTGGAGCAGGAGGCCCTGGAGTCCGTCAGCTCTGGTAGGACCCTTTGTTATGCACTCGTCACCTGAGACTGTTATAGGAACTTTGGCAAATATAACAAATAGGGGTCTTTCATGGCATTTCCTGAAATATAATGACGGGGATGAATGGAAAAGCAGGCATTTATCCTTAGTGTGTACTTGGGGCTTACACAAAGCATCAGCGTTTCTGATCTGACCAGTTCTCTGCTTCAAACCAGCACTTTGACAGAAGATAAGAAGAAGCAGTGCCTTTTAACCCATTAGTCTTTCATCACAGTCCAGCCTGTTTGTTTGATCAATAGATCGTTGTTGTGTGGTGTCAGTCAATAGGCCACGGACAACATCTTCACCGGCAACACACCTCAGGCATTGATTGGCATAAAAGATAAAAGAAAATCTCATCTAAGGCTGCAGACCTGAAGAGATTTTAGTTTGAAGATAGTTTCTTGGGTTTTAGGTCGATAACAACACGTGCATTTCCTGTTTACTTTCAACTCTGATCCACGCGGTTCCATCTTTAGGGTCTTGTTTGTATGTCCTTTGCTTATTCCAGGAAAACGCGTTTTAAAAATGCCCTGCAGCACGTTCATAGCTGCGCTTTTATGGAAGTCTTTAGATTTTGTAAATGTTGATGACCCTTCAGGTTGTGTTTAATTCATTTATGAACAGAAGATGGTGATTGTGTCAGAAACGCATTACGAATTCATTCAAAATGCTTTTTTATGCCAGCTGCTGTAATGGGTTGTTACAGCAGGGTTCCTTGTTGGTTCTGGATATAGAAAGTTCTACTTGTTGGTTTCATTTTCGAGTCTGATTGAATGTGCATAGCTAATGGTCGTCAGCAGGAGTCGATAGACAGGAAATGTAATGTAGTAGAGAGGGATGGGTATTGTGGTTGATCCAGCCAGGCTTTGATCCACTAGTAAAACATCGAATAAGGGAGAACCGAGGATAATCAGGGCTTCTCATCACATCCAGCGGTTTTTAATGGATTATGTGGAAGGCTGTAAGCATTTGTATCTTTTCCTCACAGTTTACACTTTTAGTTGCTGTGGCAGTTAATATATCATTGTCCTCAGGGTTTTCCTGCATCCATAAGTTTGGGAAACTCTGGTTAGGTATGTGCGTTTTTCAGATAGTGTTAAGATCACATTCAAAAACGAGTGAAAGTAGGGATGCACCCACCCTGTGTGTCGTACCCGATATTACACCACCAGATACTGATCATGTGGGTCCACCATGGTGGGCGTTACGGGAGTGTCGAACAGTCAGCAAATTGGCCAGTTTGGACTTTCTTCTGCTAGTTCAAGCCCAGTTCACTTGTTGGGAGATGTAGCAAACCTAGCTGGGGCTTATAGCGGTGTTTACCAAAGTTTAGTGTAAGCTAGTTTACAAACGCTAGCTTATGTTGTCCCTGCTGCTGTGTTTGCCAGGTTGCCGACTTTTCCAGAATTCACCCCACTGGATTTATTTATTTATTTATTTATTCTTCTGTGTCCTGTCTGGCTGCGAAGCAAACTGAATTGATGTCTGAATGCTGGTGACAAGCCTTACAGATTTATTCTCAGGTGGAGCATCAAAGCGTCTGCTTTTAATGTCACGCCTGATACTTAAAACTTTATTAGGGTTCCAAGCCCAAAGGGCATTGGAACCCTATTGTTTTTCTACGGATTTTTCATTATTCTTCTTCTCCGCTAATACTGTATGGGGACAAGAGCCTGAAATTGCCAGGAAAAATCTGATATGGCAGTCTGATAGACAATCCTGACCGCTACTCAAGTTCGAAAATTTGGACCACGAGTCACCTAGGTGGCGCTATTGCGGAGGTGAATACGTTTGAGCTACTAGCTCCCAAACCATAGGCCCTACAGTCAAAAAACTTTATATGGACATGATCCTTGGATGATTCTGCATCTTTTTTGTATTGGCCACGCCCATTTCTGCCTAACTAGATTTTTTGCTAGATCTCAAAAAACGCAAAACTTAGTTTTAATCACCTATTCGTCATTTTTCGTCGACTCAACTTCAACCTTTGAACATATGATATATGGAGGATGAGAAGTGGTTGTGATGAAGAAAAACGCGGAATTATTGAAAATTGGGTTAATGACACCATGTCAAATTCAGTGCGCTAGCTAGCACATGTCCTAATTGATTATATCTTCAACAATTTTCAAGATAAAATGATGAGACTCTAGAACCTTACAAAGTATGAGCGGTAAACCCTATCTACGCAATTTTGTTTGGATTCACCAATAGGGGGCGCTAAAGATTCAAAAAGTTTGTTTCAGCAAAACGGCTTGATGGATTTCCACAAAACTTGGCAGATATGTTTATCATTGGACCCTTACGCTATATTTCGAAAATGATTTAAAAGTGGGCGTGGCTTATAGGCTATAAATAGGCTTTAAAAGTTTTCGCCCATTTACTCATGAAAAATATATATTCTGTACAGAAAGTTACAAATCAAATCAGTCATAGTGACATCTACAATCACAGAAAAAATTAGAATTTTTTCCAATAGATGGCGCTGTTGTACATGGTCTCATCCAGTATGTTTATTGATTCAGTCAAATTTAGATGAGTATTTAAAAAAATTATCTAAACTTATGCTAATTAGTAGAAATTTGCATAGTAAGTCAAACGTACTTTCGTTAACTCCTCCCGGCCGTACAACACAATCACATCACTACTTTCCCTGACAAGAGAGGAGGAGCGGCTGACCAAACGATGTGAAGGGATTTTGGATAATTTGCTTATTTGTTTTTATATGATTTTTTAAAATAATTTTTGGGGAATGAAACTGTTTTTTAGCATAACTTCAAAAGATTTGGACATTTTTCAAAGCTATTCATAATCACCATACCTAAGGTCAATTCAAGTGGATCTTGATTTTCAGCTTGATTCAACAATAGGGGGCGCTATAAAGAGGAAGAAATTATACTGCTTAACTGGCTAAATGGATCTACACGAAACTTAGTGGTTGTCATTATTATAGAGTCGTAAGACTACAACATCAATATGGTAATGATTGATCAAAGTGGGCGTGGTTTATGATCATTTAAAATTTCAAATTTGAAAAATTTCCTAAAAATCAATATTTGCATGTAAGAAGCTAAGATTTTCAGGTTGTGTTAACTTGGTAGACTGGAGCTTATGTCATATTCTGGTCAGAGTTGGGATCGATCCTTCAACCTTTTAGAGCCATTCCCATCTGTACCTGGTCGACCCTGCCCGGATAGCTCCAGATGGCCCCAGCTTGGCCCGGTTGATTCCACACATCCTTGCTTAGGTATGCAAGGAATGCAGTCAGAGACATTTTTAGGTTCTAGGTAATCAGCATGATAATAAATGAGAATGAATTGAGCATGCCATAAGCCCATGTGGGTTGATCCTACCCACCAATCAGAGGCTTGCTCTAGTGGAAGGTGTGAATATGCTGTCAGCAGGGGGAATGTTGGCCATGGTCAGCCTGAAGCAGACCCCCTCAGAAAGAGGGCTGAAAAACAGTCTCGTTGCACCCTAAAAATAGGACGGAACGCCGGCGGGAGAACGTGTCTTTGGGGCGGGGCTGCGTGAGGAGTGGGGAAGTTGAGGGCGGGGGCGGGTGGGCGACTGGCGCTGGTGGCTTGGAACCCGTTGATAACTGCTTGCAGTTCTAGTTGTTATTGTTTTTTTGGGGGGGGGGGTCTACAGAAATAATCAATGATGAACAAGAGTCTGCTTCTAGACCTGCAGAAAAGGGTTACACAACAATACAACAGGAGCAAGCTATCACTGTGTCAACTTGATGAAGAAATATATAATCACATGGTAATAAGTCACAGTGCGTTTAGTGCCAACCAAAGCCTTAAGACATGTGTTGAACGTGCCCAAGCCCATACTTTTGAGAGCACCATGTGAGCACCTGTGTGTACACGCGCTAGTTTATGTAAGGTTTCTCTATAGGAGCGTCCAATAGAGTGTGTGAGGGACCACAGATCCGCCCCCCAAAGATGTGCAGTAGATGGAGGGAGCTCTAAGTCCCAGAGATCCAGGCGCTGCCCCAGAGCACAGGAACCCCAAGGAGACTGCGACCAGAAAAGCCCCTGCCCCCCTCAAGAGGCGCAGAGGATTGCCCCGGGGGGCCACAACCAGCAGCCGGCAGAGTCCCAGGAGATATCAGTGGCAAGCCCACAGGCTCGCCTGAAGCCTCCCACCCCCTAGCCGGCCGAGCCCGGGTCCCAGGGGTGACCACCCCCACCGGGAACCCAGCAGAGCCCAGGGACCCAGATGCCACCAGGCAGCCACCGGGATTGATCAGGCAGACGCCTTAAACCCCCTGACCCGGGAGCCATGAACACTCAGGCAGACCAAGGCACCGCACTCCACACCAGGTGTGGCAGGGGGAGGGGAGACGAAGATCTATAGCATCAAAAGAAGTCCCAGGAGATGGGAGGAGTCAAAGACCCCACCTGACATATACAGTCATACACAAACACAGTCACACACTCCCTCCCTCTTGCTCACACATGCACATACAACCCAAGACTTACAAAAATGCACGCCGTACACCCACTCATGCTCCCCATACACACCCTATTCACTCTGGTCCCGGTACTGCTGCACATGGTGTACAACCATCACTGGTTCCCAGAGTTCGACCCTTTCTGCTGGGGTGCTGATGAGCAGGCTCCCCCGCCCAATGCTGAGCACAGCAATCCACCACCCCAGACCCCAACCAGACGGCTAGCTCTCCCTCCTAGCCTCCAGCCCCAGGAAGCCAAGCGACAACAGTGGTGTGCTAAGACCCCTAGTCTCCCTCCGCCTGCTCCAATATGGTGTTAGTGTGTGTTGATGAGGTGTATTCCATGGCTGTGGTAAGCGGGCACTGCGGGCATTGTCTGGCCTATGCCAGCTGATGCCACCACCCCACCACACTTGCACCCACAGCCCTCAGTGTCTAAGTGCAGTTTAAAATTGGAAGTGGGCACCGGCACTTGGGATGAGGCTGAGAAATCCCCCTGCCAAGTGCCG